TTTTCATACTTGTTTTTATAAATTGATTAGCATAACATATCTTTTTCAATCAGTCTCCAGGTGTCACCATTATTTTATCTAAACACTTAAGTATAGTTTTAAATATACATATATTTATCCATTTCTAAAGTAAAATATCCCTAACATCTTTTACACACTTGCCATTGGTTACACTGTACTGGAAATGAGATGCTTACAACAATACATAGAGAAATAGACTAAACATTTCCTGGAAAACCAGATGACCTTCATAATGTCACTAAACTCCCTTTATATATATCACTCAATTGATTACACTTTCATTCTCAGTTTGTCCCTGAAGAAGAAAGGTCCACCTTTCGAAAGCACTCGGGTTATAGGGTTTATATTCATTTCTAATCTTTTCATATTCACTTTCTTTTAGTTTTATTCTTTACAATATTCTTCCTCAGTATGTGAAATACAATATATCACAATGGGATAGCTTAGTGTAAACAGAGGTATTGGGTGACATGATGTGACCTCAAGATATGAGTTATGCTGAGCTGAATGTGTGATCATCAGAAATATTTTGATATAATTGCTTTTTCATTTAAGTGTTGTTATCTAACCTAATAAGGTTTTAATTTGTAAATTTTAGTTACTTAAAGATATATAACAATAAATAAAAAATATATATAAAAACAAGAAATTAAGCACTTATCTTAGCTTACCTAAGCCTGTCTGTTCTTGAGAATGAACTTTGATAGGGCTAATTCATGTGTCTTTCAAATATGCATTTTATAACACAAAAAGTACATCAGGTACTAGAATAGAATGTCCTAAAGCTACAATAATTTATTTTCCTAGCCAAACTGTAATATAAATAGGTTAAACCATCTCTTTCTTCTTGGTCTTTTAATTTTTTTCCTCTTTCTTCTTGATCTACTTTTACCTTTTAATATATTTTTAAACCTTTTAGCTCTTTCATAATCTCTTATTAAATTTCTCTTTTGCTTTGTGATTGAGTGTCATCACCTTTAAGATGAAGTTTAGTCAAAGTTCTGTTTTATTTTCTCCAGAATAATCCCAGTTTTGACAACAGTGTTCTGTTGTTGGATAGGTTTTTTTAGATTATTTGGTAAGAATAATATCAAGTCCAGTGCACATAATGATAATTTTTTTTATTTATTTCTTCAGTAATGTTTGCCATGGAATATTTTCACCATAGGCCTTCCTTCATAAATACTTTTTAACATAAAATTGTCAACTATGAGTAGGTCTAACTTCAGATACAAAGTTTCAATATCAACTACGAACTGTATGCCTAACTTATTAAATGTCCTCACAAAATTAATCAGTCAATAAACAATGCTAACTCCCCCAAGTACTAAATAGATATAATTGTTACTAATAACACTGCATAACTTTTCTGATAATGAAAAGACTCCATCAATCAGTGCTCACTAACTCACTGCAGAGCTTAACTGACTAGCACTGAACTAATTTACTCATTGCTGATTACTCATTTTTATTGTACTCTTGTCCTAATTTTCATGAACTTTCTAGATTTTAATGTCATCGTTATGACAAGCTCCCTAAATATCTAAATGAAAAACATTGAAAATATAGCTTGCAGCACTACACTCCCTTTTATTCTGGCCAGAAACATCAGTGTGTTATGTAATCAGACAATTGCTGTCATAATATTTATGCCAATTGAGCACAATGTCTTTAAATTTTTTACATACTTGAAATGATACTTAGGAGCATTTGACACTGCACACAAGCTAAGTTGGTGACCTGCTTAGTGACATATCAAATTATCAGTAGAAGAAAAAATTAGACAAATACCTAAAAAGTAGCAACTTGTAAAAAGTATTTTATGCTGTGTTTGGAATTGTTCATGTAATATTTCAAAAGCTCAGGTGTATTTGATTTGTGAAACAGCATAAATATGGTATTGCTAACATTTCTTCCTCTTTCTAAAGATTAAATACCTTTTCCTACTTTAAGAACTTTGAATGTTGTCGTGGATGACATATAAAGCTCAAACTTTAATATGTCAAAAAATACAGTAATTAGAGTTGGAATTGGTCATATTATACAAACTTTTGGTACTTAAGAAAATAGTTATTTAAAAATACTATCACATACTACTAAACCTGATCAAAACAAAGATTTTCAAGAAAGGCTGGTGCTTCAGAGTTTCAGTATAAATCTTGGAATGACAAGTTACTCGTCTAATGTTTTCGATGTTATAGTTAAACCACTAAGGATGTGGTGATGAAATAAATCTTGATTCGGAACCCAACCATGAAGAAGAAAAAAAAAATTAAATAAAAGATTAAGTATTGCCATCTGGTCAACAGTTGTTAACTGAGAGCCAATTTTTTTTCAAACTTTCCTCTACCAACTTTTTTTGCATATTTAACTGTAAAGAGATAAAAATCTTTTGCACAAAGTTAAAGGTTTTTATTGAATTTATGTTCCAAAATGTATAAAACTGTCAATTGTTAAGCTATGCCTAACTTTTACAAATTAACATGTATATATATGAATTTATAATTTTCTGAGACATTCTTTCAAACACCAGCTGAGGTTTGTTGATAAAACTATAGAAAGTTTCAATTAGGAGGTTTGTTCTAAAGTTTGTAATTTTTAGTGGGGATATTTTAAAATAATATAAAATAAACAACAACAACAAATATGTAATATTGTAAAGAGAATTGGAAGACATCAGTTTAATGTACTGTGTAAAGTTATTGAATTAATTGTATATTGGCACAGCTGATAAGTAGCTGTCGAAAAGCATTAAACAAACTGTAGCTTTATGAATATGTGTATATTTTTAATAAGGTAATCGTACCACACTTAAAAACTTGACTGTTTTAGCCAAACACTGAAATATATTAAATTAAAATTGTTATGGTTTTTGTCAGAAAAAACAGAATATCTTGGTTAATAAGAATGTTTTTTCTATAACTTCAGAAAAAGAAGATGTGTCTAGAATATAAGGTTCATGTAACTTGAGTGTCCTTAATAACTTGTAGAATCATGAAAGAGGAAGAGGAAGTAGAGGACGTGGTAGAAGTAGGAGGGGAGTGGGAAGAAGGCCTGGTCGGCGGTCACTGTCATGCAGAGACGATATCGGCAATGATAGTGACAGCAGTAAAATTACATTCTCGGAAGGTGAAAACAAAATGAATAGAGAAAAAGTTGAAGAACAACAGCTGCGACATAGCTCCAGATACTCTCGTCGTAGTAAACAGCAGGAAGTGAGGGAGTGTTTATATCGTGTAAGTATTGAAGAAAAAAACAATGTTTTAGTAAAACTTTGACTCTCTTTCCACACACACGCACGCAGACACACGTTATTGTTACAAAAACTAAAATAGTAAAAGGGTCAAATCATTTTCAGAATGAGCCATTTAATAATTGAAGGAGTAATATGTTTTATTTTTGTGTCATTTATACTTTTTATATGCAGTTTGAATGGATTAAATGGTAATGTGTTTTGTGGAGTTGTATTTGTATTATTGTTCTTGGAATATAAAATGCTACTTGTATGTTAAGTAGATTTTGTTAAACAAGACCGATGTCTGTAGGTT